GGAGAGTGGGACCGTGGTGGAAACAGTGGTGGGGACAGTGGGGACAGTGCGACAGTGGTGGGGGCACTGGTTGGGACAGTGGGGACGGTGGTGGGACAAGTGGGGACAATGGTGGTGGGGACGGTGGTGCTGGGGACAGCGGTGGGGGATGTGGTGCGGACGGTGGTGGGGACCCGGCAGTCGTTTGCCAGCGGTGAGGGGGGGGTAGGTATCCCCCCCCCGGTTTTCTGGAGGGGGTTCGAACCAGTAGTGACCATCCACAAGTTTTCTGGAGGGGGGGGTTCGAACCAGGAAACGACCCATCACGGTTTTCTCGAGGGGGGGGGGCCCGAACCGGTGGTGACCCCTCCCGGTTTTCTGGAGGGGGGGGGTCTCGAACCGGCAGTGACCCCCTCCGGTTTTCCGGAGAGGGGGGGGGCGGGTTAGGGGGGAAGGGGGGGGGGTGCTGGGGGAATGGGGGGAGAGGGGGGGGGATTTTCGAAGGAGGGGGGGACCCCCGGGTTCTGGAGGAAGGAGTTCCATGGTAAAGCGGCGGTGGATCACGCTCTCTCAAACGCTAGGACCCCCCTTCATTTGATCGATGGCCTCCAAGATGGCCCCAGGAGGCCCTCCGAAGCTCCCAGGAGAGCCCCAAGAGAGCCCCAAGAGGGCCCCAAGAGGGGCCCCGAGAGGGCCCCAAGAGGCCCCAAAAGAGCTCCAACAGGACCCCAAGACCCCGCAAAGAGCCCCAAAAGGACCCCAAGATGCCTCAAAAGAGACCCAAGAGGACCCCAAGACGCCCCCCAAAGCCCCTTAGCTCCAAGAAGGCAGCCGATGCTCCAAGATAGCCTCCAAGATGGCTCAACACGTTCCTCCCCCTCCTTCTCTTTGACCTCTCTGTTTCACTATGTGCGTCTCTAGTTTCCGTTTCCCGTCAGCTCTCGTGGGCAGGGCTCCTGAAAGGGCTGGCGGGGGCTTCGCGAAGCGTAAACAATATTGGTTCCCGAGCGGTACGGCCAAAAAGCACTCGCCACGGAGCTCATGTAAGATTTATCGGCGCGCGCGTCGTCCCTGGGGGGGGCCAACGCAAACATAGCAGTAGTGTGTTGGGGTGGTGCCGACCCTCTGGCCTTGGCAACGAAGAACGAATACTCCTAGGACATCGAATTACCGGCTATCAAGATGGCCTGATACAATCTGATACCTTGAAGAAGCGAATCCTCATACTACGTACGGTCCGTGTCGTTCGGTATGCAGGGCAAGCCGAGCTAGCTGTTGCGGCCGCGGTCGCAACGGCACCCGCGGTCGCAGCATCAATCGCTCTCGCGCTCACAGCCACGGGCGCAGCGTTACTCTCACGTCTGGCACGCGCACGGTTGATGGTCAGGGCTGCAGCAACCGACGCACTCGCGAACCGAGGCCGTGGCCCCAGCGGCAACAGCGATCGAGACAGCGCCAGCGGTAGCAGAAATTGCAGTCGCACTGGCGTTCCCTGGTCGCCCCGCGGCAGCAACGGATAGTTGGTACGTTCTGGCCGCCCAGAAATTTGCGGAAGCAGGGGACGATGATGCGCTCGCTATCCGACGCAACCCGACGCCATCTGGACACTACCCGATATTATCGGACGATATCCGGACGCCATCAGGGCGCTATCAGGTGGAATGCTGGGCAACTCAAGAATAGAACATCCCTTCTGGCCCATTAGCTTTTGGATAACGTTCAATCGCATCCGACAGTACTGTATCCGATAACGTTCCATCCACTTCGCTCTCCGGGGATGGGGCGTTTGCCTGGGCTCGATCTGGCCCTGGAGTTTGATTCCGCGTTGTTCGCTCTTGAAGACTTGGGAAACAGTGGTTTTGAAAGCGACCGACGTCTCGTCATCCTGTGTGTGGACGCGCGACAGCCCGCGGGAACGCCATCGAACACCAGCGGATTGTTTGAGGCCAGAAGACAGCCGAGGTACACTTTAGCATGGAAAGCAGTCTAACGCAGGGGTGCTCCGAATCGAGTGGAACTCACGGCGCCCACCACCGCGGGCGCCTCTTCGCCCTCCTCGGTGTCCTCGTTCTTCGCCGGGGTGTGCAGGGAAGGAGTCCGCGGAGATCGACGCTGCAGCAGCTGTGGGTCGGCTGGTGGGGGGCCTCGGAATGGAGTTTCGGCGCCTGCCACTGCGGCCTGGGGCGCCAGAGGTGACAGCAGGCGCGACGGACGCGGCTCGAAACAGACAGGTGAGCGAGAGGCACACGGCGCGCGGCGCCACCAGCAGCGGCGGGCGAAGGCACAGGATGGGCGGCGGCCTGGGGAAGCCTCCCGAGGAAGACTCGCATAGACCAGGCTGTCGCGCCGAGCGCCGCCAACACGCAGCGCGCGTCGGGACCAGCAGCGGAGGGCGCTTGGGCGAGGACTGGTGGGCGAGCGGAGGCGGGCGCCCTCCCCGTCAGCCTCGTCCTCGTCGTCGTCGTCGGCCGTGGACCTCCGCGTGCCCGGGGCCTGCGTCGGCAAAGGATGAGTGAGCCCGCCGAGGCAGGACGGCAGCGGCCCCGGCGGCGGGGGCTGGCGGACCGGCGGGAGCACCAGTGCGGGCAGCGGCCAGGACGAACCCAGGAGTTTTCAGATCCGCGCGAAGTTCCTGGAGGAGCTCGAGGATGTGCACACGAGGAGCTTGAAGGTCAGCTCGCAGCTCGTGCAGGAGCACGTCCCGAGGGCCTTGGCGCGATCCTCTTGGGCGCGCGGGCGCTAGGGGTTGATCGATGCTCACGTATCCGCGAACGTCGTCTGGGACTCCGCAGGGTGCGCGCGCCATGGGACGCTGCGTGGGGCGGCGTGGATCCGCGCGAGGATCGTGGCGCAGAACAGCGGGACGAGGGTCGGAGAGCACCTCGTGCATGAGGCACGAGCACCACCTGACCATCAAAGACCCCAGGCCCCGAGGTGAGGAGGAGGAGGAGGAGGAGGAGGAGGAAGAGGAGGAGGAGGAGGAGGAGGAGCAGGAGGAGGAGGAGGGCGAGGAGGAGGAGGAGGAGGAGGAGGAGGGGGAGGAGGGGGGGTAACCCCTGCAAGAGACACGAGGAGCGCCATCAGCGCCTCGAACGCGCGAAGCGGCGGTGCACGGGCCCTTCCAGGGCGGGCTGCGGCACTTGCTCGTGGGCGCGCGGGCCCGCAGCGGGCGGAGCCGAGGGTGCAGCACGTCGGCGCGGGTCCCTTGCCATGGCTCGCGGCGTGGAGAAAGGAAAGATTGGCACCAGTTCAGCGACAGCGGGGACTTGAACGGGGCCCCTGGAGGTTGGCACCTGGTGACTGCGCGCGCTCCAGGAGGAACTCGACCCCAGGCTCAAGAGAACTAGAGGGAGAGAGAGAGAGAGAGAGAAGCAAAGAGAAGTCCATGACATCTAGACGACGTCAGAAAAAAGTCGGAGCATGCCCGGCGCCAGTAGTGAGAATGAGAGCCAGAAGAGGGGGGATATGTGGCACTGAACTGCACGGCACTTCTGCGCAGTGAGAACGAATAGCCTGCCAGCTACCGCAGCAGAAGCGAATCCTGTTAAGTCGTTGCGCAGTTGCAACATTCCTCAGCAACTATGTGCGTTCCACTGATGAACATTGTGAGATTGCGATTCTACCGAAGGAACATGTCTTCCCCGATGTGATGCGAACAAATGGTGAATAATTGAGAATGGAAGGACTGAATATCCAATCAGAATGTTCCGGGGGGGGGGATTGCACTCACCATCCAAGCCGAACATGTCCGATCATGAAGGAGCGGAGACAGAGTGGGAATACAAGCGGAGTGCGCAGTCCACTGGGAGCGCGGTGGAAATCGGAGGGGAGAGGGCCGGGGCGCAGCGGCAATGGGCTGTGCCGCCGCGGCGGCGGCGGCGGCCAGAGCCGAGCCACCATGTCCTCTGCCAGCTGCACCATGGCCTCGCTCCGCAGCGGCCGGAACAGCTCCACCATCTTGTCGAACAGGCTCCGCTCCATGACTTCTGGAGGCTGGCCCGAGGGCGGAGGTACGGACCCACGAAGGTTGGTGACCTCGCCCCGGCGGCAGGTCGGAGGCCCGGTGGGGAGGGGGGGGGCGACAGAGACCCGGGGCCGTGGTCGCGGTGCTGCCTCCCCAGGTCTCCCGCCCGGAGGGGCCCCAGAAGGCCCTTCCCCGGGAGCAGTGCTTCGCCCAAACTGCCACCTTAAAAAAGGCTCCGGGGCCCGAAAGCGGCAACCGGAGCCCAAAGTGCCCCCCCCCTCCCCCTCACAAAAAAAAACAGACCCCCGACGTCATGATGTTGTCATAACGTGGAGCCCCAGGGGTCTCGATACTTCCACCCCGAGTCTTTTGGGACGGTCCCGAAGAGCGGTATAAAGGCCCCATAGGGACCGAACATAGCAACAACAACAAAAAACAGTCCGTCGCGTGTTCGTTCCTGACTGGAGGGGGTCTGGGAACACCAAGACCTGAAGCATCGGCCTCGACATTACTGAAGGGGCACTGGGACACACAGATAAATACACACAAATACATAGATTCCCTATATCTTCCCATATCTTCTGGGTTTTCGTCTCCCCCCCCCCCACTTCCCATAGTTTCCTATATTTTCTGGGGAATCGACGATTAATGGTGTCTGTGTGTTTCTTTCCCTCCTGAATTACCAAAGCCTCCACCCTCGGCGCCCCGAGCCTCTCCGCGCTTGCCCGCCCCGGCAGGCCGCACAATCGTTCGCTGCAGACAGACCCACTCAATTCTCACGACAATCACAACGTTGACGACTCCGACTCCGACGACTCCGACGACGACGACGGCGACAATCACGACAACGACGACGACGACGATCACGACGACGACGGCGACAATCACGACGACGACGACGACGACGACGACGACGACGACGACGACGACGATCACTACGACGACCACGACGATAGCGACGATCCCGTCGACGACGCCGACGAGTACGACGACGACGACGACGACAGGCGGCGCGCCCGCGGTGCCCTGGGCGTCCGAGCGCGGGGCCCCGTCGCGCGTTTCGTCCGCGCATAGTATCTGCATCCAGACCTGGCGGGCCGCGGGAGGCACTCGAGAGAAGTAGGTCTGGGCACGTCCACGCCGCCCAACTTTGACATCGCTCGGACTGTTTCGCAGGATCAGTCAGGATGCTCCTCGATGGTCCTCGCCGAGAAAAAATGAACACGTCCGAGCGACGCCATGGCAACAATCGAGGACCGTCAGAACGTGGGTTGGCGCCAGCGTGCGCTGGTCCACCGAAACCCTCTGGAACGACGCAGGCTGTGTAGGTCGGGCCTGCCGAGGCTGCATGCCATCGGCGGGGCGAAGTACCGCCCCTGCAGATGCGGAAATCTGGGTAGAGGAACAGAACAACTGCACAGACATACCTCCTCTGAGGTCCGCACGGATTTCTTGGACTGGAGTTAGACACTCCTCCCAGGCGCAAGGAGCGCGCCAGGGGCGGCCCGACGCGGATATGAGAAACCCGAACGGAAATCCCAGAACAGGTGTTTATGTCACTGTCCGTAACCCTGGCTCAAGCCGCTGTCTCAAGCCTTTGGCTCAAGCCGCTCTGGCTCAAGGGAGCCAAGCAGGCTTGCGCGACCGTGACGGGAGCACTGGTCCATGGCGCAGACAAAGAAGTCTGGAAGGTGGAGAAGAATCGACGGGCCATTACGACAAGGCCGAATCTTCTCGAAACTCGCACACGTCTGCTTCCAACGCCACAAGCACACCATGTATAGGATCGAGAATATGTAGTAAACGATGTAATCAAGTATCAGGGAAACAAATGCCAAAAGCATCGCCGGAAGCGAGAGCGCGAATGTTAGAGTGAACAAAGCGTAGAAACCCCTGGTCCGTCTAATGCGCTCTGTGCCATCTGGGACTGAAGCAATGGTGCACCGTACAACCAGCATGGGAGGCACGTGTATCATCAGCATGGGCAGCGCCAAGACCATGATCTTGGGGGCCATCCAGAGGACCGTCGTGATGAGCACGTACTTGTCGGCACACTTTACCCTGCCGATTGGGTTCAGCGGCCACGCCTGGTCCCGGCTTGTGTCGTTGCCGTCCTCGGGATTGAGGGACACGCTCCCGGCTGCCTTGATGGCTCTGGCATGTGCCATCTGCTCGGCGGACTCACCGTTGAGCCACATGCGCTTCTTTTCGTCCACGGTCACCTTCTCCCAGCCGCGGGCAGCGGTAAAGGGACGCCCGGCCTCCGGCACCTCGCCCGCGTCTCGGACGAGCGGCGACTCCGCGCAGTAGCAGTCTGGGGCCTGTTGAGTCATAGCTATGTCTTTGCGAAGGTAGAGTCAATATGAACAGTGCCACAGCAGCAGTCAAGAATCGATGCTTGCAGTATGCTAGCTGCACGGCGCGCAACCAGAGGAAGGCCGAAATGCCTCTCGTCGATGACGCGGGGATTGAAAGAATCGGGCACCGTATCTAGACGTCTCCTAGAAGGGGTCCGAGTAGATGGGGTCCGAGGATCGTGCCACATCGCCGACGCATCGCCGATGCATCGCCGATGCGTCGGCGACGTCGGCGGTGCACCTGCAACGCCAGCGCGCAGAAAATCGGGCTCCACATCGAGCCGCATCGCCGATGCGGCGCGATCCTCGGACCCCACCTGCTCGGATCCCCCAGGCGGGAGTATCGCGCCGCATCGCCGACACACCGGCGATGTTGCACGGCCCCTCCTGGGCGGCCTGACCCGTTGCCCCGTTCGCGGGGCCCTCCGCGCGCCCAGCCCTGGGGCCCAAGCGGAGCGGAACGACGCGCTGTCCGCTTGCACGGCACAGCGTGTCGAAGTGGCCGCCGTCTCGACACGCTGAGCAAAAGATCCCGACCTCAGGCTCGTTCGTGCAGCTCTTCCTCCTCGAGCCGTGGCCGTGCGCCAGATGCCTTCCGACTCGTTCCTCGATCGAGGCGGCCTGCCCGGCCGCGCTCTCGGCCTCCCCGCACTCCCATGGCGGCCCCGCAGGTTACCAGCGGCGGCGCGGCGGCGGTGCGCCCGCCGCCGCCGCGCTTGCCGCCGCCGCGCCGACACCGCCGCCACCGCCGCCACCGCCGCCGCCGCGCCCGCCACCGCGCCCGCCGCCGCGGCCGCCGGGCACGGCCGCCCGGCCTCGGCACGTTTGGTCGAGGGCACCCCGTGCCGCAGGAACCCGTCGAGCTTCCAGAGTTTGTCCTCTGCGCGGGGTGAGGGGGCTGGGGGAGGGAGGGTTCGGCGGAGGAAGAGGCAGGACCTGCAATAGCACGGTTCACAACACCGGTTTCCGCATAGCGTGCCCGATGCAGGAAGCCATTGCGAAGAGGGTCGGACACTCAGAGAAGCGCATATACCGCTGTGGTAATGACGTGGAGGAGGACGGGAGGACGAGGAGCAAGAGGCTGATGTACAGTTCCCTCCTCCCTCCTCCTCCCCATCCTTACTCCCTCCCTGTCTTCCCATCCTACCTCCATCCCTTCACTCCCATCCTTCCTCATATATATATATATATATATACATCGGCGTTCCGAAAGTTTATTCCGATTTGAAATGCACGACGCTGCGCGAATGCGGCGCAAACGCTATGCTGGAAGGGCGCGGCAATGCACGCACCCTTGGACAGGCGAGAGCAGCCGCGCCCCTGGGCGAACCCCGATCCCGCGCAGGGCGCGTTCTTGTTGACAACAGCTCACTCGGGAAACTGCTTCTTGCGCAGGAAGTCCTGAGCAGTCTGCCCATCGGCGGCTCCTTCGGACGAGGCCCAGAAGCACCGAGAAACCGTTTGTGATAGGAAGTTCTAAGCGGTTTGCCCATTCTCGGTTTCTTCGGAGTGGGCCCGAGAACGACGGTTTTTGCAAGGAGTCCGAGGCGGTTTGCGGATTTCGGGTCGTTCGAACCAGATCCGCACTTTTTGGCACAAGTCCTATGGGATTTGGCCACGTTCAGGTCGGCAGGTGAACTATTCGGGTCGTCGCGTGACCGAACCCGAAAGCTTTGTTCGAGGAAGTCATATACCGTTTGCTCATTTGCGGGTCAATACACCGCTTGGGATTGAAAGTTTTTCATTGGGAAGGGGAACCCGATCCCGCAAACCCGGGCGGGGACTAGGCTCTGCCATTGCATTGTACTGGGCCCCTCTGGCCAAACGGGGTGCTGGGCTGCCCATCGGCGCGCCGACTCTGCCCTCGCGACATCGTCCCCGTCCGCCCTCTGGGGCCCCGCGAGTCTCATCCTGCGCGCGCCACCCCAGATGGCCGCGGCGAGCACGGTGGCGAAATGGGGAAAACGTTCGGATCGGCGCAGTACATACATACATACCCACCTGCGTACATACCAACATACATACATACATACATACATACATGCATACATACATACATATATACATACATAGATATGTATACATACGCATGGATACACATTCGTACATACACATAGACACATATGCATACATGTTCATAACTATTGAAACACACAAAAAAACCTACATACGTACCTGCCGACATACCGACCTAAGCCTGCATCCACACGTACGCATCTACATACCTACATACATAGACATCTACATACATACATAAATAACTACATACATACATAAACTCGTACATTCACTCGTACATGCATACAGTTGTTCAGCCGTGTCTTTATATATATACAAGACCGCATTGGCGTTGCGCGCCATGTACATTGGTTTTTGGAATTCGCACGCTAGCGGAGTGCGAGCGCGCGTACATGCGCACACACATGCGCCTATGAATGCATAGTACATATGCACACATATATACGTTTGTATGGATATGTACATGTATATGCAAATGGTCAATGTAACTACGTGCGCGCATACACATGCGCATATCAGGCGGTAGTGGCCTGACCAGTTGCTCACATCATCGCGCCACTAAAAAGCGCGAGGGTCTCAGGCAAACGTGGTCAGACTACCATGGGACAATGCGTCGCCGAGGTCAGCGTTGCGAGGACGTCCTGGGTGAAAATGGCCTGAACACCTCCGCTCAGGGGAGGGCATATCCGAAGTCAGCCGCGCGAGGAAGTTTCAAGCGAGGAGCGGCCTGAACACCTCTGCTCAGGGCATCCTGAAACTTAGAGTTGCGTGACGTCGCACGCGAAAGTGGCCGAAACACCATGGTGCAAGGCACCTCCGAAGTGAGACTTGCGAGAGTGTCTCAGGCGACAGCGGCTGGAACACCTCAACTGAAAGTGCATCGGGCCCCAGAGCTGCGACGATGTCTCAAGCGGAAACGTCGGGACCGATGCGAAGCAAGGCGCTTCTGAGGTCGGAGTTGCGAGCATATCTCTGGCGAAGCGGATTAGACTACTTTCCGTTATCTCCTCTTCCTCCTTCCCCTTTTCCTTTCCTCCTCCTCCTCCCCCTCCCCCTCCTCCTCCTCCTCCTGTTCCTCCTCCTCCTCTTCCTCTCCCCCCTCTCCGCTTCTTTTTTTGCTCATTCTCCCCATCCCTGGCGGCGCGGCGCGGCGCCGCGCGGACTCTCTGCGGGTCAAGCGGCACAGGGTGAGAGAACCCCCCCGAATTAGGAACGGTTTTTCCCAAGCCGCCAAGGGGGCCCGAGGGTAGTGCAAGAGGCGGCGCAGGTTTTGGAATCCCCCAGGGGCTCCTCGGATTCGGCCGGCCCTCTCCGGTAAGGTAGGCAAGGGCACCGCGTCCAGGTGCTCAATCCCCCGTATCCCCCTCCCCTCGTCTTCGTTCCCTCCTCCATGACCCCCTCCTCCTCGTCCTCGCCCCCCTTTTCCCCCTCATCTTCCTCCTCCCCCCCCCTCCTTCTCCTCCCTTGATGCCCCCGCGTGGGGGCCTCTTGGGGGCCTCTTGGGGGCTCCTCGGGGCCTCTTGGGAGCCTTTTGGGGCCTCATGGGGCTCTCTCCGGGCCTCTTGGGGCCCTCTCGCGGCGGAAAATTTAGTTCTTGAATGTTTGGCCGCCCTCTTGGGTCTCTCTTAGGGCCGTCTTGGTGCTCTCTTGGGCCGTCTTGGGCGCCTCTTGGGCGGTCTCGGAGCCCTCCTGGACCGTGTTGGGGCCTTTTTGGGGGCCTCTTGGGCACTATTGGGGCGATCTAGGGAGCCTCTTGGGCCATTGTGGAGCGTCGGCAAGCGGGAAAAGCGAGAAGGCCAAAAGCATCGAAAAACACACAGGAAAATCAACAATTGTAGCCTGTCGGGGCTCTCTTGGGAGGCCTCTTGGGGGTCTCTGGGGGCGTCTTGGACGCGTCTTGGGCAGTCTTGGGCCCAGATTGGGCGTCTTGGGCCGATCTTTGGGTGTCTCGGGGCCCTCTTTGGCCGTCGTGTTTTTTTTTTTCGCGTCGCACTCGCAGGCCAGACACGGAGCACTCTGCAGGAGCGCCCCAAAGGCTCGGGGAGGCCGAAATTCGTTTTGGGGGGGGCACCGTGTGCCGCTTTTCCGGGGTCCCCGGCCCTGTAAAAATATAGAAATAGGATTATATATATATATATATATATATACATACATCTACATACATACATATATATATTTATATATATGTGTATTTATGTATATATATATATATGGAAAAACGTACATACAAACAGACATCACATATACAAACAAACACCCATGCATACATATGCACATGCACCTCTACAAACATGCATACCTTCAGACGTACGGACCTACATATCTACCTGCGTCCATGCCTACACACCTGCATACCTGCATACGTACAGACATCTGTGCATACAGACATTCACACATACCCGTAGCCATGCGTACACGCATACATGCATACATGCACATGCATACACTATTGCGTACCTACACACAACTATCCATGCATACATACATACGTACATGCACGCCTACGAACGTACATACACACATACATGTATACATACCTGCACAAATGCAGACATGCGTACATGCCTACATGCGTACATGCATACACGCATACACACATGGCTACAGGTATACATACATGTAATTACATACATACATGCATACATACATACATGCATGCATGCATACATACATACATACATACATACCTGAGTGCAAACAGACATGCGTACATGCATCCATACATATCTACACACATGTGCATACATACACAATTGCATACATACATGCACGCATACCCGCGCATATGCATGCACCTATACATGCACCTATACATGCGTGCACACATGCATGCATGCATACACACAGTTGTATGCATAGATACATGATCGCATTAATACATACATACGCACACACATGCATGCATACATACGTACGTACGTGCGTAGATACTTACATGCGCACGTACATACATGCACGCATGCGACATGCCAGCAATCCGCCCATCCATCCATACATACATACATGCATGCCTGAATGCATGCACACAAACATACATTAACACATACCTATACATACACACATACCTATTTACATACATGCATACATGCATACATGCATGCCTGCAAATATACTTACGTACGGACTCACCTACACACATATGATCATATATACATACAGGCATACACACATGCATCTGTAGATATACAGAAGAACAGACAGACCGACAGACCGGCAGGCGGGCAGACAGCCAGACAGAAATACATACAAGCAAACGTACACGAAATGCTTACAGAAGCGATCCGTTCGCTGAACAGGACCTTTTTCCCACCTTTCTGGGATTAACAACAGATCCCAGGGCCCAGGGTGGGGGTGCGAGAACCGACAACAACCACGATTTGGCGGCGCGAGCGAGCTCAAGACAGAGGGGCACACCAAAAGTGATGAGCCATGGTTGAATCCCAGGATCGTTTGGCCCCGAATCACCACCAAGGGCTTCGAGAACCGAACTCCTTTAGGGCAAGGAGGCCTGCAGGCACGAAGCATACGGGGCTGGGCGTGCTCGAGGGTCGCACACCCCTCCACCAGATGGCCAGGTCGCCCGCGGCGCAAGACCCACCATGGCGACACAAAAACTGCCGCGGCTCGCGCAAAATCCAGCCTGTCCACAGATCGTGAATTGGCCCTGGCGCCATTGGTGGGGGCAAGAAGGGCTTCAAAAAAAACACATGTCACGGTGTGCACGGCACACGGCCCCCTTCGGCAAGCTCGTCGTCAGCGCGAAGACCGAGATCTCGGGCAAGGATGGGGGCAGGTGGGGGTGGACCACAGACACGCGGCCAAGAGGGGGGTGTCCAAGAGGGGGGGGTGCAAAGTATGACCGGCGGCATGTGCGCGGCCCAGCGGGGGGACCAGGGACGTAATGAAATAAGAAGAGGCGCCATGAAATCTGGGGAAATATCATGGCCCCCGCCATGATATCCACCCCCACCTAGTCATCACCCCCCTCTTTTCCGCCCCCGAACATCGGTGGAAACCTCACTCCCTGGGGTGTCCACGGCAAACTGGTCTTTCGGTCCCGAACGGTCCAGGCACTCGACGTGGTCAGAGTCAGGGAATGGGCTGTCAACTCTGAGAGCGGGCACGCCAGCAACGACTGAGCAGAGGGTCCCCGGGGCGCGCCTCGAGGGCCGCAGAACCCAGAGGGTATCGTCCAGCCCGTGGCGACAAGAGCCTCAATTGGGGCAAATCCAGACACGATGACGATAGCAAGAAGTGTCGAAAACCCCACAACGCTGGGGCTGTGGGGAAACTTGGTAGCCCCTGCCATGGAGAAGAGCTCCTGTGCAATAGCATGCCGTGAGAACCTGTCGCGGAATCTGCTTGGCAGAAGGGCTGTTGGGTTTGAGCTCCAAGCTCTGGAAATATGGTGAATCCACAGCTCCATGTCACAAGTATGATTCGCTCTCGGGCTGAACACCTTCGAGTTTATCGCTCACAAGGCGGTGCAATTTCACGCACTGCAAGTCTTTCAAAGAAAGACCCTAAACCTGGGATGGAGGGGCAACCGTAACATAGCAAGTCACCCCAGCAGGGGATCGAACACAGACAAGGTCCAAGATACTCGATATCCCACACGCTACTTGCACCAAGAAACATGTCACCAGTAAGGCTCGAAGCAAGACGGGACGGGCGACTGGAGAAACGATATTGGATCAACGATAGCGGGTTGTAAAATCCCACCAGCCCTCTGGGCGTAGGTGGTTTAGGGAGTTTCCTCGGGGAAGGGTTTACCCTCCCCCTACCCCCTCCCCTGGACCTCGACGGGGGGTTCCGCGACGCGTTGGAGCGTCCAAAACGGCCTCGGCGAGGAAGCCAACATCATTGGTGTTACTAAGGTTTGGGCCCCATTTTGGCCTCCTGAGGGGGGGGCTAAGTTAGCCCCCCCCTTCTGTGATCGATCTCCTCCAAGATGGCCCCAAGAGGCGCCCACGAGGCCCCAAGAGGCCCCGAGATGGCCCCAAAATGGCCCCAAAATGGCCCCATGTGGCCCCAAGAAGCCCCCAAGGGGCCCCCAGGATGCCCCAGAGGTCCCAAGAGGCCCCCCAGAGGCACCCAAGACGCTCCAAGAGGCCTCGGCGAGACTGCCAAAATCACTGATGTTTCTAAGGTTTTGGCCACATTTGGGCCTCCTGGGGGGGGGCACTGCTTCAGATGACTCCAAGAGCGCCTGGGAGAGCCCAAGATGACCTCCAAGATGGCTCAAGGTATCCCAAGATGCCTCAAGATGGCCCCCACGATGCTCCAAGAGGCCCCAAGACCGCTTCAAGACGGCTCCAAGTGGCCAAAGAGCTCCCCCAGGAGGCCCCGAAGAGGCCCAAATCCGTCCAAAACCTCAGGATAATCAATGTGTTGGGCTTTCTCGCCTTGCCGCTTCCGACGGCCATCCGAGGCTTCACGACGACTACAAGATGGCCCAAGAGGGCTCCAAAAGCGCTCCCAAGGCTCCCAAGAGCGCTTCAAGAGGGCCCCAAGAGGCGCCCAGGAGGCCCCAGGAGGCCCCAACAGGCGCCCCAGATGCCTCCAAGAGGCCCCCAAGAGACCCCCAAGAGACCCCCAAGAGGCCCCACGAAGCTCTCCGAGGCACCCAAAGCGCTCTAAGAGGCGTCTGGGACCGCCAAGAGGCCCCCAAGACGCTCCAAGAGGCCTCCGCTGGGGGACCCTTCCTCTGTGTGCTGCCCACTTCCCTGATCGAGGCACTTCCTCTGGGCATCGTTTCTGGATGTGCTGGTGGGGTTACTTTTTCGGTCGCGGCCGCGCGACAACGGTCTGGCGGCGAGAGGCAAAGTCCCTGGTGGGGTTACGCAAAGCGTCTAAAATTCCTTGGCTGGCATGATATGCTTCGAGGACAGGACAATGCCCCTGGCCGTCCACAATTTCGCACAATAGCGGCAAGTCTTATGACGCCAGCGTGACAGACAGGGTCTTTGGCGGGTACCAAACACTAACAAAGCCCCAGGTTGGCAACGGCACTCCACAGGCCAATGCTGTTGGACACCTGCAATCTCAGCCCCATTGAGGGAGTGGCCTTGAACCTCCCCCCCCTCGGTCACACAGGGATGGATCCCACAAACAGACACGCACACACACACACACACACACACACACACACACACACACACACACACACAAACACAGTGGGCGTTGACCCCCTCATGTTGCTGAGGAGAAGCCTTCAGAGGCCCATGGACAGTCTGGTCGTAGATTGTTGCCTCGCATTTGTGTGAAGAAGGGGTAAAACTGAGACAACTTCCGATATTAAAAATCATGACCTTCTATAATATGCCCATGCTTACCTCACATCATGGGGGCCTGCTTGGCCAGCGCATTGCAATTGGTGGTGAACTGCATTATCTTGAACGCAATCGGAAACTCGAGCATAGTGGTGAATAGACCGAACACTTGTCCACCAAGCATAGCAAGACTGTGCAGGCAGTCCATTACGGTCGGCATGGCCACTCACGTCATGATGTCATATGGTAAGGTCCCCGTCGTTTCCTACAGTGAAGCTCCGAGTGCTGGGGAGCATACAGGACTGACTATCATAGGCGGCCGGGGAGGACCCCACAACAATTCTCCTCGTGGGACGGGAGCTTTTCACTGAGGGCCAGCAGCAAGCGACGAGGCAAGCGATGGCCCCCCTCCCTCCTCCTTCCCTTCCCTCCCTCCGTCCCTCCATCCCTCCCTCCCCTCCCGTCCCTCCAACCACCTCCCCTCCCTATTTCCTTCCTCCCCCCCCCCCTCCTCCGTCCCCGCTTATGATACCCCCTGCCGAAGAAGAGCATCCCTGACACACACTAGGCAGCAGGAGACCCGAGCACAAGGCACGAACGGGGCACTCACGAGCGGGCGAGCATTGCGCAACACAAAAGTGAGGGACGAGCACTCCCTCCCCCCCCCCTGCCCCTCCCTGCCCCTCCTCCTCGCGAAGGCCCCCCCCCCCCTCCGCTGGGGCTCCTGGTGGGCGGCGCTCCTGGCCCACTCGCGGCGGAGCTGGCCGAGCCTGGCCTTGACGGGCTCGTCGAGAGGCTGGTCCTCCTCCTCCTCCTCGTCCTCGGCGCGATCAGGCCCGCGGGGGGGAGGGGGGGGCACCATGGGGCGAAGGGGCATCCGCTTCGTTCTGCTCTTCCCTCGCATCCTCCTCCTCCTCCTCCTCCTCCTCCTCCTCCTTCTCCTCCTCCTCCTCCTCCTCCTCCTGCTCCTGCACCTGCTCCTGCTCCCCCTCCAAGACGAAGCACTGCGGACTGGCTGGTCCAGTCCACCTGATGCCTCGGGCGGGAGGCGCAACAGTACCTCCACCACCGCCAGACACCTACGCCACCGCTCGAGGGGCACGCCGATCTGGTCGGTCACTAGCCTTGGAGCAGCCTACGCTTCCCCCTCCTCCTCCCCCCTCCCTCCTCCTCCTCCTCCTCCTCCTCCTCCTCCTCCTCCTCCTCCTCCTCCTCCTCCTCCTCCTCATCATCATCATCATCATCATCATCATCATCATCATCATCATCATCATCATCATCATCATCATCATCATCATCATCATCATCATCATCATCATCATCATCATCATCATCATCATCATCATCATCATCATCATCATCATCATCATCATCATCATCATCATCATCATCATCATCATCATCATCATCATCATCATCATCATCATCATCATCATCATCATCATCATCAGCATCATCATCATCATCATCATCATCATCATCATCATCATCATCATCATCATCATCATCATCGTCAGCAGCATCATCATCATCATCATCATCATCAGCATCATCATCATCAGCATCGGCATCATCGTCAGCATCATCAGCCCCATCATCATCAGCATCCTCATCATCATCGACATAATCCTCATCATCATCATCCTCATCATCATCAACATCATCCTCATCATCAGCAGCAGCATCAGCATCATCATCATCAGGATCATCATCGTCATCAGCAGCAGCAGCATCATCATCCTCATCATCATCAGCAGCAGCATCATCATCAGCATCATCATCAGCAGCAGCATCATCATTATCATCACCATCACCAGCATCATCATCATCATCATCATCATCATCATGATCATCACCATCACCGTCATCACCATCATCATCATCAGCAGCAGCATCATCAGCATCATCATCAGCATCATCAGCATTATCGTCACCACCACAACCATCACCATCATCATCATCATCATCAGCATCAGCAACAGCATCATCATCATCACCATCACCATCATCATCATCATCATCATCATCATCATCATCATCTTCTTCATCTTCATCTTCATCTTCATCCTCATCCTCATCAGCATCCTCCTCCTTATCCTCATGCTCCTCCTCCTCCTCGATCCCTTTCCTAATGAATAACTCGTTCTTGTCGCACCCCCAGACGTGTCGGTAAGGTGGGTCGGGAGTTTCGCCTGAGACTCCGTCACCATCTATGATCATCAAACTTGAAATGTGCAGCCGCATCCAGTATGGAGGCCGGGTGGTGTTCAAAATGTTGTTTTCGCCCTACCGCCGCGCATATTCGCCTTCACGGCCTACAGCAATTTCAAGGATTGGAGGCGTGTGGTTTAATCAATGTGGCTCACGCCTCAACGCCGCGCACGTTCGCCCGAAACGTGTGCAACAGTTTCAAGGATGGAAGACTGGTCGGTTTCAAAATGGAGCTCTCGCATTAGCGCCGCGCACATCCGTCTTAAAAGTTTGCAACAGTTTAACGGATGAAGGTGGACAGTTTTCAAAGTTTGGGTCTCGCCTGAGCATCGCGCACATGCAACGGCTTCACGGACGGCCGCCGATTCCTTTTCGAAATGTGGCTATCGCCTTAGCGCCACCCATCTCCATCTGCACTGTCCATTCTCTCATGGAAGAAGGCGATCGTCGCACTTATCTCAGGAATCGGAGTGCGAGTTCGGACGCGTCGCGCCGAACCTGCGCCCAGAAGGTTGCAGCGTGTTCTATTTGTTGAGTTGCCTCATTGTTCAGTTGCTCCAACTTGGCCACTCGTGCTTCGAGCGCCCCCTGCCGTCGGACGGCTTGCCCGATGGCACCTTATCGCTCCAAAATGTGGGTAATCCCTCGTTCAATTGCTCGCTGGTCGGGGCGGCGGGCCCAGAAAGTGGCTGCCGCTGGGTTCCCCAGGATCTCCCGAACCCAAGGGTCCACGCTCTGAGCGCTATGCGCCTGAGTGGCACTCGGGAACTTCGCTGGGGTAGTCCGCAACCCGCGAAGGTTAGTTTCTCGTTGCCGTCCGAGCGTTCTGCCTTGCTCAGACAGGGCCCGCCGCTGCATTTCAGCCATCTGCTGGCGCGGGGTCCAGATGGGTTCGGCAAATGAGATCGATTTCTCGATTTCGACAGCGACTGCGTTGGACCAGCGTCGCAGTCCCGCCTGCGGCCTCGACGTTGTTGCTCGATCATTCGAGTGGGCACCTGTTTCGCCGAATCGAAAATCAAGGCGCCCTAGTTCTCTCCGGCGCCTTAGCGACCGGAACCTCAAGGGCAGCGGGACACGGGGAAAACTTCATTGACTCAGATCCCATACGGAACCGTGCTGTACCAACGGTTGGTTCCCCCGACGTACCAGCGCCAGGCTACCCATCGCAATAGCCTTTCTCTGGCTCTCGGGGGAAACTCTTGACATTTGCCGAAGGCACTGTCTACAGGTGCTACTCGTCCGCGCCCCATTGGCTGCTGTCTTGCAGCGTATCCTGAAGTCTCCGACCCGAAAGACTCGTCGGAGATGCTGGCTTCCAGCGAAGCTTCTAGCTCGCCTGACTTAGCCAGCTTGAAAGCAGCGTTTCGCGCTACTTCGGCTGATAACGTTGAGTTGGGAATGCAAGGGGCTTTGTGCCAGACGCCCCTTTTGCTTTGTTTGTTTAAGGCCTCGGCTCGCTATGGAGGCGGTCGAGGAGATGTAGTTATGTATATCAGTCTGCAATACGGCTCGGAACGAGCAAAAAGAGGAAGAGAGAAAGAGAAAGCGAGCGCGGGCAGCGGGCCGCACGCCTTCTCCCACCCAGCGATGCGAGCCGAAGAATGCTCGCGGCGGGCGACTCCTCATCCTCGACACTCGGGAGGACGGAAGAAGGGAGGCAAGAGAGTGCCAGGAGGGAGCCGAGTGTCCTCGAAACGCACCAGGGGCTACCGCTCAAAAAGAATGCGAGGACGCCGAGGGTAAAGCACATCCCCGGCCCCCTCCCCCCCCCCTGGTCCCACCTAGTCCTCCCCCCTTTTTGTGGCCGAGCCAGCGACGGCGGCGCGGTGCAGACCCGAGCTGGCGCACCCCCGGACCCCAACTGTCCTGGTGGGGGCGCGGCGCACAAAGGATTGGCGGCGAACCCGGGGGGAGGGCAAGGGAGCGCGGGGCTTCTCAGAAGGTTCAGGAGGCCTGCGGCCTTCTGCAAAGCGTTGAAGCCATCTCCGAACACACTGGCGGCCTCTCAGAAGGCTCAAGGGCTTATGAAAAGCCCCGCCGCCTCGAGAAGGCCCGCCCACTCTCGCTTCCCCACTGGTCTCGCCGCCGAGGAGAGCAAGTGGGGAGACCAGCCAGGCAGCCAGGGTGGCCTACGGCAGCTTCGTGCTATGGCAACGTGGACGTTGGTTTCTGATACCGCACTCAACAACGAGCGCCCGCGAGCCTGCTTCATCATGGGTCTACAGCTTCTCCAGAACACTATCGAGCCCAGAATCGGCACGAGCATTGGCTACCTATAGAGTGCTTCTTCTTCTGGCGACTGGTGGTGCCCCCCCAAGCCACCACCGCGGTTACACCCAGCGGAGCACAAGGTACCCGAAACGCGGGTGCCCTCCTCATCTGCTTCTTTCCTATCCTTCCCAGTACCACAAGCATCGCAACCACCAACGTCACCATCTCAGCAACATCCGAGACACCACCATCACCATCAACGTTCGCTATCGTCACCGTCACCATCACACGTGTCACCATAATCATCATCAGCAGCAGCATCAGCACCATCGTCATTGTCGAAATCGTCATCATCGCCGCCGTCATCACCATCACCATCTCCACATGTCATCATCACACTTAAAGAAATATGTTCAACAGCATCCTCAGTTGCATCATCGTCAGCATCATCATCATCACAAGCATCACCATCAGCACCAGCAGCATCAAAATCATCGTCATGCTCAGAATCCGCATCATCAATCAGCATCAGCATCATCATCTGACTCAGCATCAGCATCAGCAGCATAATGACCCTCAGCACCAGCAGCGTCATCATCAGCATCATCATCATCATCATCATCATCATCATCATCATCATCATCATCATCATAATATTCATCATCATCATCATCATCATCAGCATCAGCATCAGCATCAACATCGTATATCATCATCATCATCATCATCATCATCATCAGCAGCACCATCATCATCATCATCACCATCATCATCATCATCATCATCATCATCAGCATCAGCATCATCATCCTCATCATCATCATCACGAGCATCATCATCAACATCATCCTCATGATCATCACCATAGCCGTCATCAGCAGCACCTGCATCAGCATCAGCATCAGCAGCATCCTCATCAGCAGCAGCAGCAACATCATCGTCGTCGTCATCAGCAGCAGCAGCATCGGCATCAGCATCATCAGCATCAACAGCATCAGCATCAGCAGCATCATCATCATCATTAGCAGCAACATCAACATCAGCATCAACATCAGCATCAGCATTATCATCAGCATCCACATCGTCATCATCATCGTCATCAGCAGCATCAGCATCAGCATCAACCATCATCATAATCAGCAACATCATCATCGTCGTCGTCATCAGAAACAGCAGCATCAGCATCATCATCATCACAAGCATCAGCATCAGAACAAACATCATCATCAACATCATCATCAGCAGCAGCATCATCATCATCATCATCGCCAGCAGCAGCAGCATCAGCATCAGCATCATTAGCATAATCATCAGCATCAACATCATCAGCGTCAACATCAACATCATCATCACCATCGTCGTCGTCATCAACAGCAACAGCTGCATCAGCAGCAGCATCAGCATCTATATCAGCATCGACATCATCAACATCATCAACAACACAATCAACATTGACACAATCATCAACATCATCAACAACAGCATCATCATCAAAAGCATTCCTGGACCCTCCCGGATTCAGTCATGGCAGGTCTGTCATCTCGGATGGATGTTCAAGGGTCCCATAACCTGAAGTCATGAATGGCGAAACGTTTCCGCATCTGGAAGGCAGGGCCCCGAGAGGAAAGATACCCCAGCACCCTACCAGCAGCAGAGGTGCTGATCATGATCATGATCATGACTAGATGGCGAAGCGGCCTGCCTGAGTGGTCGTAAAGTGAAATCAAATATCAGGCGAAACAACGATTCCAGGAGTTTTGTCTCCTACCTCTCCCCGTCCCCGCATGTGGAACTTCTGCGTGGCTCTCCTTGGCCACTACCAGAGCCCTTACCGCATTCTCTATTCGGGAAGAAGTACACTGAACGAGCACAAAACAAAGAGGGCCGCAAGGATCTCTCAGGTCGTTGCCAGAAGAGCCCCTGGCCCAAGGTGCCCCAAGATTTCCAAGAAGGCCGCCACGGCCTCCGGTGCACCCCTCACGAGGCCCAGAAGGCCCCAGGGTTTCCAACATTGAGCGAAAGCTGGGGGCGCCTAGGGGCAGGGGCACCTTCGCAACCCCTGACTCCCCACACTCCCTAGGGCTCCCAACTTCGCGCTTCGCGCTCCGCGAAGCGCGAAGCGCGAATAACTTCGCGCTCTCGCGCCGCCCCCCCAAAGGGACAAAAGGAGGACGAGGAGGAGGGGGAGGAGAAACGAGGACCGCGAAGCGCGAATAACTTCGCGCCCTCGGGGGATAACAGCGACGCCGCCAGGGGGCGCGGGGAGAGGGGGCACCGCGCCGATGCCACGACGTCCGCGCGCGCGGACCTCGGAAAAACCTGCGCTCACATTCGGGAAGACAAGATAAGGTACGACAGGTTCGTGTCGTGCCGACCCCAGCGTTGGTTTTTGACACCGCAGGGATCGTTCAACCTTGAACGATCGGCCGCTGCCGCAACGTCCGATCGTTCAACGTCGATCGATTCTGGGTCGCCAGCGGCGTTCAACCTTGAACGCCCACGCTGGGGTCGCCGCTGGTCGACACGACGCAAACCTACCGTATACCGATGCCGCCGCTCCCCGCGGACCTCTCCAGGGACGCACTCCGACCAGACGCCTCCCGGGAGAATCCCGCCGCGGAGACGAGGGCTCTCGTTGGGCGTTGCTTGATGGGGGGGAGGGAAGGTGCACTTTGCGGGCCCTAAAGGACCCCCATTTGGGCCCCAGCGGGCCCTGTGGGGTGCACTAGAGTACAGTCCTCGCTGCCTCCCCCCCTTGATTGCCCCCCCATGACGCGACGCGCAATCTCGCGGACGAGCGGCGGCACCATCACCTCACCCTCCTCTGGACATCATCTCCGCGTCTTCGAGGGCGGGATCACGGCCGAGGGAGCAGACGCGTCGGCCGCCCTAGCGGCCAGTCCTGGTGCTCGTCGTCCTGGGGGGGGGGGCCGCCGAGGACTTCCGCGCGGGCCGCCGCCCCCTCTCTGGGCACGCGCGCCCTCGTCGTCGCCGCCGCGATCGCGCAGCCGCCGTCGGCGTCGCCGTCGAGATCCACCTCGTCGACGTCGTCGCCGTCGTCGCCGTGGTCTTCCTCGTCGTCGTCGTCGCCACCGCATTCCTCAAGGTCGTCGTCGGCGGCGCCGCCGTCGTCGTCGCCATCGTCGAGATGGCTTGCGGCAAGCACAGGTGGGTTCGAGGTCGGAGGTGCATGCTTCTTAGAGGGTTCCTCGCCTTCCAGGAGGGCTGTCCCCGGGCCAGCAACCGCGCGCCCAAGAAATCTGGCACGCGCCCAGCTTCCTATTTCTGCAACTGCAGCTCTCATCCTGCCTCCTCATCCTGCTTTCCACTTGCTGCTCTCTTCCGCGTCGTGATTCCTCCCCTGCCCTCCTGCTGCCCAGCATCAGCATCAGCATCAGCATCAGCATCAGCATCAGCATCAGCATCAGCATCAGCATCAGCATCATCATCATCATCATCATCATCATCATCATCAGCAGCAGCAGCAGCAGCAGCAGCATCAGCATCATCATCATCATCAGCAGCAGCAGAATCAGCATCATCATCATCACCAGAACTTGCATCAGCATCAGCATCATCGTCTGCAGCAGCATCAGCATCAGCATCATCATGATCATCAGCATCATCAGCATCATCAGCATCATCAGCATCATCATCATCGTCACCATCAGCATCATCATCGGCATAATCATCCTCAGCATGATCATCATTAGCATCAGCATCAGCATCAGCATCATCATCATATTATCATCATCGTATCATCATCATCATCATCATCCTCATCATCATCATCATCATCATCATCATCATATTCGTCAGCATCGACATCATCATCAGCTGCATCATCAACCTAATGATCACCATCAGCAACATCATCATCATCATCATCATCATCATCATCATCATCATCAGCTTCATCATGACCATGATCATCTTCAAAATCATCATCCTCTTCCACATTATCATCCTCATCCTCAAAACCATCATAAGCATCATCAGCACGATCATCATCATCATCATAAGCATCATCATCATCATAATCATCAGCATCATCATCAGCATCATCATGATAAGTATGGGGCATCACCATCACCATTACCAGTCGCATCGGAAGAACCATCAAACAATCATCAGTAGCATGATAACCATCGACATTGGCACCGGCACCGCCATCATCGTCATCATCATCATCATCAGCATCATCATCATCAGCAGCATCAGCATCAGCCGTGCAATCATTATCATCATCATCAGCAGCAGCATCATCATAAGCAGCCTTACCATCCAGAACTTATCATCATAGAAGTTCCAGCAGCGCCAACAACAACAGCTGCAACAACACCATCCGCCTCATCATCGTCACTACAATCCCCACCACCATCATCGTCATTGTCAGCAGCATCAGCATCATCATCAGCAACAACATCATCATCAGCGGTACCATCCTCATCATAATCATAAACATCAGTATCATCATTGTGATCATTAGCATCAGCAGCAGCATCATCATATTCAGCATCCTCATGCCAAGCAGCATTATAATTAACATCAGCCTCGTCGTCAGCGTCGTCAAGTTCATCAGCAGCATCAGCATCAGCATTATCAACATCATCACCATCATCGCCGTCCTCATCATCCTCATGTTCATCCTCCTCCTCCACATCGTCATCCTCATCCTCATCATCGTTTCTCCTCCTCCTTCTCCTCCTCCTCTCTCCTATTTTGGGGGGTTCGGCGGTCCTCCTGGTTGCGACTTGGGCCACGCGATCTTGGGGCCCTCTTGAGACGTCCTGGGGTCGTCTTGGGCCGTCGTGGGGCCCTGTTGGGCCGTTAAGATTATATTGGAGACCCCTTGGACCGTCTTCGAGCGATCTGGATGGCTACTGCGGCCGTCTTGGACTGCTGGAAAGCTGAAAAAGCGAGAAAATTCCTAACAAAAACTACGAGTGTCGCGTCGTGGGGCCACAAAAAAAGCCCTCACTGGGGCCTGTCGGGGCCGTCTTGTATTGAAAGCTGCCGCTTCGAGCTCCTCATGGGTCGTCTTAGGCCCCTCTTGGCGCCCCTGGGAGGCTGCAGAGGGGCGCCTGGGCCCCCATCCGAAAACGAGGCCCGCCAACCCCTTTGTCTGGAGCCCCGGACGGGGCCCGGATCCCCCGTGCGAAAACGAGGCAATCCCCGCCCCTTTCCCCCCCCCCACGAGGCCGGATGCCCATGTGTTAAAGACATAAAAAGACATAGATGCATTCTCTGACCCTCGCCGTACCAGTCCAGGGCTGCGAGTGGGCCTCTCTTGGGAGCCTCTTGAAGCCGTTTCAAAGCCTTCTTGGGGGCGTGCTCAGCCGTCTTGGGCCTCTCTGGGCCGCCTTGGGGGTATCTTGGGGTTGTTGTGGGCTTGTTGCTGTGGGGGGCCCGTGGCCCAGCTCCCCACGAGCCCGAGGGCGAGCGGGGACGCCCCACCCGGCAGGCTCCAGCAGCTTCTCGCCGTCGTCGTCCGTCTGCTTGCGCGGCGGCTTCACCGCTGCTGGACTCGGGCGAGGGGCCGCGCGCGCGCGGCGGGGCGGCTCGGCCAGAAGCGAACAGAAAGCGCCAGACCGAGCCGGAGCAGACGGCGCGAGCCGGGCGCGCCGCGGGCATGGCCCCCTTCTCCAGGACCGGTGCTGCAGCCAGACTGGTTTCTGAACGGTCCCGGGGCGGGCCCCCGCACGCCAAGTACTGTCAAACAACGTCCGATGGGGGTTCGGGGCCAGCTCCGCGGGCCCGAGGCGGCACGGCCAGCAGGAGCAGAAGCATCCCTGCGGAAGAAGCCGGGCCGACGGTAGAGGAACAAACGACGAAATACACATAAACTTGTGGCGGTCCGCGCTGGCCACTCCATCCCGAGCGCGCGGAGCGCGCCAGGGCCGGCGCCGGAGGCGCCGCCAGGGGAGCCCAGCGCCGATCCGGGAAATCCGCGCGGACCGCCGAAGATTTAGGGGGGCCGCGCGAGCAGGGCGCCGAGCGTGCCTTCGCGCGAGCCCCGCTGAGGGAACGGCAGCAAGCAGCGGACCCAGTGGGGCAGGCGGGCGGGCGGCGCCGTCTGGGCGGGCCGTGCCACAGGCCCCGAGGGCGGCAGGGCCGCTATGCGATCGGCGACCGGCCCTGCTGAGCCCAGGCCTCCGGCGCAGGTGAGAAGACAGGCGTGCTCGCCCGGTTTCGGGCACCGAGACAGTCACAAGTCGATCCGGCGCAAAAAATGACGCAACAAAAAAGAAAGAGGGGTTCCCGGCGTGATCTTCTGCGATGCCGCATATATTTCGCAGCGTCGGATCTCAGGGTCCTGAAGCCCGTCGTGTCATTGTTCGCGAGAGCGCCCGTGACCAGCCCCCCCCCCCCCCCCCTTTTGGTCACGTCACGAGTTGCCTGGCGCCGTCTGGGCACCAGCCATTCTTAGGCATTCGCAGAAGGCGCTGACGCCAATGGTGACGTGAGCGGCCCCCTCCCCCGCCCTCCTCCCCCGTCACGCCCGTTATCACCGGGAGGTGCAAAAAAAGGCTATCATGCTACAAGAGTTCGTGGGGAACTGCCGATCGATCCGATCGCTAGACTCTAGAGGCGATCCATCCGCGAGGATCCTGGGGTTCGACAGAGGGCAGGAGCGGCCGTCGTCGTTTGTTATGACCAGGCTTCCAGCGCGAGTCCTGCCGCAACGACGATGGCCCAGAAAGGAGGAGCAGCAGCATCAGCAAGACGGGGAGCAGGATTGGAGGCAGAAAGAGGGACTACAAGGATTACAACCGTCGCGCAGCGATGCAGAAGACTACAGGGTCACCCCTGACCCTCAAAACAGCGGCGACCCCAAGCCACACCACCGCCCGCGCATTGTGGCAACGACCACAAAGACTACAAAACTGGAGGATGCCGCAAATCAGCTATTCCACTGTAGCGGTGATCCATACTCACCCCTTCAAACCAATACCTTCAATAACCGATACAATTCTGGAAACACACAAACGCGGGGTTGTGAGATAACTATGGATACATCGCCTGTCAAGGCAGGCCGACATACTATCCCAAGTGCACCCACCCCTGAACACAGCAAAACAAAACTGCATGCACGCGTCGCCTCCCAGACACTCCGCCTTTGAGACATACCCAAAAGGGCCTCTTTTCAAAAAGGGGAACGGCGAGCGCCCGAGACATGTCCGCACGGTTCTTCCCACGCCCTCGGGACGGACGTCGACCCAAATTGCTGGGTAAACGCCAGAACCGTATACGATCGAAAATGAAGGCCTACAACGAGGCGACCACCATTCGGCGCACGCGAAACGCCGTCGTCGTCGTCGTCGTCGTCGTCGTCGTCGTCGTCGTCGTCGTCGTCGTCGTCGTCGTCGTCGTCGTCGTCGTCGTGGTCGTCGTCGTCGTCGTCGTCGTCGTCGGCGCCAGCCCCAAGGACATGGAAGGCGTTTCTTTATGTTCGGCCATGACGGGCGTCATGGGGGGGGGTATGACGTGACGCCCCCCCCCGCCGTGTGGCTCCGGCAGCCGCGCCCGCGCGCACGACGACGATGAGCGACGAGCGACGAGCCACGAGCGACGAGCGACGAACCACGAGCGACGGCGACAAACGACGACGACGACGACGACGACGACGACGACGACAACGACGCCTGCGGACCAGACACCTAATTATGCGGATTCCTACGCGGACACCTACGCGGATCCCAATGCGCACGGCGGCAGTGCCCGGAGCGCACTGGGGGGGGGTAGCGTTACGTCATAGGGGGGGGGCGGGGGCCATGACGCCCGTCATGCCCCAAGCAATAAAGAGATGGCCTCATGGAAAAACGAAAGGAGAAACAAAAACGTCGCAAGGAAGTCCGTTCCCTTCCGAGTTTCCCTTCCCTGACCTGGGGGGGCGAGCGCGGGGGCGCGGGGCGGGCGGCGGCGGGGGGGGTGCGCAAGGGGCCCCGGGTCAGATCATCGCCCCCGGGATGGTCGCCAACGGGGGCCCCTGGGGAGGTCCCGCCAGCGGCGGGGAAGGATGGTCACGGGTCAGACGACCGCCCCCCCCCAAAGGCCCCAGCGGGCCCCCGGGGGGGTCCGCCAGCGGCGGCCCTGCGCCGGGGGGATAAGAGAAGGCAGGGCGTCAGAGGGGCGACAGGCCACACACCACTGCGCCCGAGGGGGAAACAGGCCCGCCCCCCTGGCCCGCATCCCCTCAGCGAGCCGGGGCATCCTCGGCCCGTGCGAGATGGAACAAAAAGTATCTTGCAGGGGCGGGCGGCGGGTCCCGCGGCGGGCCGCGGGGCCTCGCCGGCACTGGGCCGCGGCGCCGCGCAATGGAGCCTGAGGGAAAGGAATCGCGCGAACCACGGCTGCGCGCAGCTTCGGATTGGACCCCGCGCCCTTCCTGAACGACCGCGAGACCTCTTCACCTTCGAAGGCGGAAGAATTCAGGTTGGCCCCGCGACCCCGCGACCACCCGCCGCACCGAACGCGCAAAAATTGTTGAACAAGTGTCCTTGAGGGCACCCGGGGGATCTCGGCAAGCCCGAGAACACTGACCGAGCCCGAGACCACCACAATGCGATGTCCCTTGGGGGCCCCAGAGGAACCTTCGGAGGAAGTTGGGAGTCCCGAGACATCACTAACAGACGGGGGCTCTCCGAAATTTGCATTCATCACGCGCTGATTAATTTCATTGGAAGCCTAACTCGCACTTAATCCGCATATGAATCACAACGTTGCGCGCCGAAAACCAAAGGGGCGGAGGAAACCAAACGGGCGCCGAAAACCGATCGGTGGCAGAAAATCAAAGGGGCGCTGAAAACTCAACGGTCGCCGAAAGCAATGAAAAAAAACGCCGAAAAACAAAGGGCACCGAAAACCAAAAGACCGCCGAAAACCAAAGCGGTGCCGTACACCGAACTTGCGCCGAGAATCAAAAGGGCGCCGAAAACCGAAGGGGCGCCGAAAACCAAAGGGGCGCCGAAAACCAAAAAGGCGACGGAAACAAGAAAGGCACCGAAAACTCAAGGGCGCGCAGAAAACCCAAGAAGGACAGAAAACCAATGAAGCGGCGACAAACCCTGGAGCGCCGAAGGCCAAAACGGCGCCAAACATCAAAGGAGCACATACAACGAAAGAGGCGCCGAACACCAACGAAGGGCTGGTAAAATCATAAAGGCACCAAAAGCCAAAAAGACGCAGACACCCAAAAGCGCGGGGCGCCCGAAACCAAAGAGACGCCGACAACCGCAAGACCATGCCGAAAACTAAAAATGGCTCCGAGACCCAGAGGGGCGCCGAAAACCAAGGAGCGCCGAAAACCAAAAATGCTCAGAAAATCAAAAGGACGCCGAAAGCCAAAGGGGCACCGATAACCACAATGGCGCCAGAAACCAAAGGTGCGCCGAAAACCGAACGAGGCGCCGACAACAACACAAGGGCTCCGAAAACCAACGATTGGTCAAAAACCACAAAGGCGCCGAACACCACAAAGGCGCCGAAAACCGAAGGGCCGCCGAAAACCAACGATGCCGCGAAGAAACGAAAGAGCGCCGAAAATCAAAGGGGCGCCGAAAACCAAAGGGGCGCCGAAAACCAAAGCGGCACCGAAAACCAATAAGGCGCCGAAAACCAACGATGCGCCGAACACCAAAAGGGCGCCGACAACCAAAAGCGCGCCGACAACGAAAACCAAAGGAGCGCCGAAAACCAAAGGGGCGCCGAAAATCAAAGGGGAACCGAACACCAAAGGGCTCCGAAAAACAAATGGGCTCCGAAAATCGAAGGGGAGCCGAAAAACGAAGGAGCACCGAAAATCAAAGAGGCGCGCCGAAAACAAAAAGGGGAAGAAAGACAACGATGCGCCGAGACCAAAATGGGCGCCGAAACCCATGGGGGCGCCGAAAACCAAAGATGCAACGAAGACAGGCGCCGAAAACCAATACGGCGCCGAAAACCAACAGGGCGCCGACAACCAAAAAAGCGCCCAAAACCAAAAAGGGCACCGAAAACAAAAGAGGCCCGAAAACCCGAGGAGCGCCGAAAACCGAAGGGGCGCCGAAAACCAAAGAAGCGCCGAAACTCAAAAGGGCGCCCAAAAGCAAAGGGGCACCGAAAACCAAAGGAGCGCCGAAACCAAAGGGGCGCCGAAAATCGAAAGGGCGCCGAAAACCAAACGGGCGCCGAAAACCAAAAAAAGACCGCCGAAAACCATCGGGGGCCGAAAACCAAAAAGGCGCCAAACCAAAGGGGCACCGAAAATCACAAGGGCGCCGAAAACCCAAAGGGCGTCGAAAACCAAAGGGGCAAGGTAGCTTCGAAGCGCCCCTTCTTCAGCCAGGGCCCTCCAGCTGGAAATGCAACCAGGAGGGGAGGGAGAGGGGGTAGCTTGGGAAGCCCCCTCCCTTTTTGGAAGGGGGGTCCGGGCTTACCCGGGGCCCCGAAAAAAGGAGGGGGTAGCTTTCAAACCCCCACCTTGTAGCCAGGAACCCCCCAGCTACAAAATCCGGACAAAAGGGGAGAGGGGGGGGGTAGCTTCAGAAGCCCCCCCTTTTGAAAGGAGGCTGGGTTCAACCCAGGCCCCGAAAAGGAGGGGAGAGGGGGTAGCGGCCAAGCCCCCCCCCACCCCACCAGCCAGGGCCCACCCCAGCTAAAAAATGCAGACAAAAGGGGGAATAGGGGGGTATAGCTTCGGAGGCACCCCTTTTTTCAAGGGAGCGCGGGGGGGGGGGGTAGCTTGAAGCTGAGGGCCCCCTGGCGCTGCGTGCGCGCTCGTTCGCAGCTGTGCGGATGGAGAGCGGCTCCTTCTCGGAGATGGGGATCTCGCTTGAGGCTTCCCCAGAGTGCATGGCCATAACGAGAGGTTGTGCAGAGGTTACAGAGGTGAAGGGCGTGCCTTTTTCAAACGAAGATATCGATGGACACCCCAATAAACTGTATCACATCATGCCACTTCGCGTTCCTGATTACGCGTCAGAAGGATAGAAGGCGGTGCCATCGCCTGAACGCCTGGCAAAAAGGATGCTGGTGTTGCAAGGGGGGCGATTTTGTAGTGAAAAGAAGACATGTAGAGACTGATGCATCTTGAGCTTACGCTGGTCCTCCCCCTCCTCCTTTCGGGCAGAGGCGGCGGCAAGGGCCTGTCGCGCACCCGCATCCTGTCGATCTCGGACCACATGGAGAGGCTCAGCTGCTCCCGGCACTGCGGCACGGGGGGAGGAAAGGCAGCCTGCGCCCCGCCCTGTGCGACGGCAGCTTCAGAGATCTACAGTCGGGACTGACTGTACGGCCGAGAGTGGGCAAGTCTCGTCCAAGGGCAGCCCGTGCTCCAGACATGAAGATGGCATGAAGCGCGATAGACAGGTCTCACGGGCACCGATGATCTGGCAGGATGGACCTACGCAGATGCTCGTAGTATCCGCCACCGTGCTCCCGGGAACGCGGGGAGGCGTGGTGGAACACCAAGTATTCTCGGGCACGGGTTCTTCTCGCTGCCATCCCTCCCCCCACCCCAGCGCGCGCCACGCTTTGCTGCGTGCATCCCGCCCCCTTCAGGCTCTCTGGGACTCTGGGCGGCCCGACGATTCCCTGAGGCTCTCCAACGCTCTCGAAGGCTCAGACGGTCAAGGAAGGCCACCAAGGACATTTAGAATCTAGATGGCCCTGCACTGCCTCAATGCACACCTGAGAAGAACAAAAACACTGTATGCTGGCCGGCCGCGACACACAACAAGTAGCGACAACACCTTCCCCCCGACGCGGCGGGAGTTCGGCAGGCCTCGAAAGGCCGACCGTTCCCTTTGCTCTGCAAGGTCAGGACTTGTGTCGACTACCCCAGACAAGCCACGACTAGTCTGCGGCGGGTCTGCAGTTTCACAAAACATCGTATGGGCAACCGAACTCTGCAATGCAATGCCTAAGATGTCCGCCGTCAATAGAGCGAGGCAAATGCTATGCCTCACATAGACGCCCTGGGCAACACCTGCACTTGCGTGGAATCGGATGGCGACGGCAAGACACGACACGGCACAACGGCCACTTACGCCACCGCATGCATGACTTTCCTGCTGCGGTGGGAACTCCGCAAGCCGCGGCTCAGCCCGCTTCACCCCGCTGCCTCGCTCCAACGGCTTCCGTTTTCATCATGAACCACCGTGCCGCCAGCACTGGTGACGGGAGTATTCTTGGGCCCTTCGACTCATCCCCGATATACATCGCCCAGTTGCGACTCATCACTGTGTCGGACCCACTCGTCAGCATAGTTGCTTTTCAGAAAGGGGCAACACAGAGGAAGAGAAGGGATCACGCTACCGAGAACCCCACATACTTACATTCTGTCTGGAATGATGATAGCTGGAAGCTGGAGTGAAACATGCGAGAATGATGCTGGTGGCCGCTGCCCCGCCGATACCGTTGGTGACGCCGGTCAAGCCTTGGGAGCCTGAGTACCCCGAGGGCGTCGAGAAACTGCCACCCCTACCACACTTTCCGAACCTGGACCGTATATAGAGACTGCGCTCAGAGACCGCCCCCTGCGCACCCCCTTCTGGTGTCGAGAAAATGCAACCCCTGCCACACTTTCCGAGCCTGGACCGTATAGAGGCTGCGCTCAGAGACCACCCCCTGCGCACACCCTCTGGTGTGGAGAAACTGCCACCTCTGCCACACTTTCCGATCCTGGACCGTATAGAGGCCGCGCTGAGAGACCACCCCATGCGCACCCCCTCTGGTGCCAAGAAACTGCCACCCCTGTCACACCTTCCGAGCCTGGACCGTATAGAGACCGCGTTCAGAGACAACCCCCTGCGCACCCCCTCTGGTGTCGAGATACCCTCTGGTGTCAAAAAACTGCCACCCCTGCCACACTTTCCGAGCCTGGACCGTATAGAGACCGCGCTCAGACACCACCCCTTGCGCACCCCGTCTGGTGTCAAGAAACTGCCACCCCTGTCACACTTTCCGACCCTGGACCGTATAGAAACCGCGATGAGAGGCCACCCCCTGCGCACCCCCTCTGGTGTCAAGAAACAGCCACATCTGCCGACCTTTCCGAGCCTGTAACGTATATAGAAACCGCGATGAGAGACCACCCCCTGCGCACCCCCTCTGGTGTCAAGAAACTGCCACCTCTGCCGAACTTTCCGAGCCTGGACCGTATAGAGGCCGCGCTCAGAGACAACCCCCTGCGCACCCCCTCTGGTGTCAAGAAACTGCCACCTCTGCCACACTTTCCGGGCCTGGACCGTATAGAGACCGCGCTCAGAGACCACCCTCTGCGCACACCCTCATGGCGTCGAGAAACGGCCACCCCTGCCACACTGTCCGAGCCTTGACCGTATAGAGACCGCGCTCAGAGACCACCCCCTGCGCACCCCCTCTGGCGTGGAGAAACTGCCAGGCCTGCCACACGTTCCGAGCCTGGACCGAATAGAGGCCGCGCTCAAAGACCACCCCCTGCGCACCCCCGCATGGTGTCGAGAAAATGCCACGCCTGCCACACTTTCCGAGCCTGGACCGTATAGAGACCGCGATCAAAGACCACCCCCGGCGCACACCCTATGGCGTCGAGAAAATGCAATGCATGCCACACTTTCCGAGCCTGGACCGTATAGAGACCGCGCTCAGAGACAACCCCCTGCGCACCCCCTCTGGCGTCGAGAAGGTGCCACGCCTGCCACACTTTCTGGACCGTATAGAGACCGCGCTCAGAGACCACCCCCTGCGCACCCCCGCATGCTGTCGAGAAAATGCCACGCCTGCCGCACTTTCCGAGCCTGGACCGTATAGAGACCGCGCTCAGAGACCACCCTCTGCGCACACCCTATGGCGTCGAGAAAATGCAATGCATGCCACACGTTCCGAGCCTGGACCGAATAGAGACCGCGATCAGGGAACACCCCCTGCGCACCCCCGCATGGGGTCGAGAAACTGCCACCCCTGCCACACTTTCCGAGCCTGGACCGTATAGAGACCGCGATCAAAGACCACCCCCTGCGCACCCCCTGTGGTGTCGAGAAAATGCCACGCCTGCCACGCTTTCCGAGCCTGGACCGAATAGAGGCCGCGCTGAGGGACCGCCCCCTGCGCACTCCCTACTGGCGTCGAGTGCCTCGCCTGTCACGCTCTCCGACCCTGTACGCACAGAGGCCGCGCTGAGAGACCACCCCGTGCGCACCCCGTCTGGTGTCGAGAAAGTGTCACGCCTGCCACGCTCTCCGACCCTACACGCCAAGCGTGCACTTGCGTCGTATGGTGTGTGTGTGTGTGCATGCGGGAGCTGTATGTACACGCGTGTCTCATGTACATGCCGTGCATGTGTTGCGCGTGGGTGGGGGAGGAGGACAGAGGAGGAGAGGAGTGAGACGAGAATGCCACGCGGCAAGGAAGAAAACCATAACCCCACGAAACATGCGGGTCATCAAACAGACAGCGGACACGGCAGAAATATGGCAGGTGATGCAGAGCACACTGGACACCTGGCCACCGAGGGAGCGTTGAATAAAGCGGAATGCAGACCATGTATGGAAAACGCCTGCCATGTGGACATCCAACACGAGCCAGCGTACAGCTGGTGTGCTGCGCAGATGGAATTACGTAACAGGTGTCGCAATCTCCAAACCGTCTCGTCAACATTGGTCAGGGGCATGAGTTCTCGATGTTCGACCTGCACGCCAAATGGCAACACACGCCTTACCATACATGAGCCGAAGGTCTGGATATGAAACAAATATTGCACTAAAGGTGTTCAGGCAAGCGTCTAGAGGGAAAGCCGCGTAGTAGCGTCGTACAGAGAGTAACCACGTTACAACAGAACGAGTGCCTCGACGTAGGGCAAGATGTCCGACATGAGTTCGATGTGTCGCGAAGTTGCGTCGCACAGCCTTGGCTGAAGACTACATGACAATAGCAACCAACTATCAGCGATAAAATGAGTATGCGGGCACTGAGATAAGACACTTGGATATACACACACGCTTCCTCCGACACGGCGAAAGGGTGCAGATACCAGTTCTAGAACCAGTTCTTGCCAGCAGATCAATGTACACACACACACACACTTATTCACATGCTCACGCACGCGCATCTGCTCGAGCACACGCCCACCAAAACACAGGGTCAACAACATTGGTGGCTCATTCTGAACCTGTCGACGGTGTGGGCGAGAGCATCAGCATTCCTTCGCTCGCGGCGCACACTCTACTGACACATGTGTGGTGCCAGCCGGCCCCATGGTGTAGCTTGTGGCTCAACTCCCTGTCCTCCCTTCTCCGAACCAAGATCAGCGTAAATTCCAAGTGGGAGTACGAGAGCTGCTGCTTCTACCACTCATCCTTCTGTCGTTGATACCATTACGCTTGAACAACTACTAGCTACTTGATCGGCCACCCTGCGCCGAGGTACAGTGTCCCAAGGCATCATGCGGGGTGTGTTCGTGTCCCTTAGTGCCCTCTGCATCTAATATGGCAATGCTCTCCATGGACACACAGCTCGGCATTCGGGCCGCTCTTGGGCGCTCTTGGGTACTTCCAGGGCTTGGCGCGTCTTCCCGCGCGTTCCAGAGGCAATGAGGCCCCAAGACGGGCAAAGAGGGCACAAGTGGCCCCTTAGACGGTCCACGAGGGCTCCGAGTCGCCTGAAGACCGCTCAAAGACGCCCAAGGTGGCCTGAAAACGGCCCAAGAGACCCCCAAGACGCCTCAAGAGAGCTCCAGGAGCACCCCAAGAGGCCCAGAGAGGCCAAAACCACTCATTCACCTAAAATGTATTATCATTCTAGTGTTCTCGCCTTTTCGGGCTCCCGACGCGTCGAGACAGCCCAAGAGACCCTAATAATCACCCCAAGAAGTCCCCAAGATCGCCCCAAGACGTCCCAAGATGCCCCCAATGAAGGCCCAGGAGGGGAAGCTCTAGCTGACATGTCGAGCCCTCCGCCTCAAGATGACCCCCGAGACCGCTAGGAGACTCTGACGAGACCCCCAAGAGGCCCCCATGAGGCCCGAACCACGCCCGAAAAGGCCCCCAAGAAGCCTCCGAGAAGCCCCAAGACACTCAACACCGCCTCCAAGAGACTTCCGCGAGGCCTCCCAAGAGATCCCCACAGGCATCCAAGAGGCCTCTGACCTACAACCCAGGCACGGTGGCGGGATGGGCCGAAGGCCACTAGATCCGCCGCCCCTGTCGATTCATCGCAGGGGTGCCTGGCGTGCTAGATCCTCTCGGTTTTGGTTTTGGTTCTTTTTCCAAAAGAACTCCCCCTGGGGCTCTGGCCCGTCCCGCTGGGGTCCCGGGATTTTTGTCCAAGGACCTCAATTCCCTACTTTTCTGCCCAAGACGGCTCCAAGATGGCCTCCAAGATGGCCAAGATTGCCTCCAAGATGGTCCAAGATGGCCTCCAAGTCCGCCCAAGATGGTCTAAGACGGCCCAAGAGAGTCCAAGACGGCCCAAGACGGGCCAAGAGGCCCCCCAGAGGCCTCCCAGACGGCCCAAGAGGCCTCCAAGAGGTCCTCCAGGAGGGCCCGAAGAGGCCAAAATCATTGATTCTCCATAGGTTTTGAAAGGATTTTGGCATTTGCTTCTTCTCGGCATTCCGACGGCTCAAGACGGCCAAAAAGGCCCCCAAGATCGCCCAAGAGGCCCCCAAGAGGGCCCCATGACGTCCCAAGTGGCCTCCAAGATGGCCCCAAGAGGGCCCCAAGACGGCCCAAGAGGCCTCCAACACGCCCAAGATGGCCTCCAAGACGCCCAAGATGGCCTCCAAGACGGCCCCGAACCGCCCCAAGAGGGTCCCCCGTTGGCCCAGAAAGGCCCCCAAGACGCCTCCCGACGGAGTCAGACGTGCCAGGAGCCCACCAAGATGGCCGAAGTTGGCTCGAAGCTAGCCCACAAGGGCCCAAGAGGCCCACAAGAGGGCCTCCAGGAAGACCAGAAGAGGCCAAATATATGGATTGTCCTGAGGTTTTTGACTGATTTTGAGATTTCCTTCTTTTCTGCATTCCGACGGCCCGAGAGGCCCAAGAGCCCCCAACGATCGCCGAAAGTTCGCCCAAGAGGCCTCCAACACGCCCAAGATGGCCTCCAAGACGCCCAAGATGGCCTCCAAGACGGCCCCGAAGCGCCCCAAGAGGGTCCCCCGTTGGCTCAGAAAGGCCCCCAAGACGGCTCCCGACGGCGTCAGACGTGCCAGGAACCCACCAAGATAGCCGAAGTTGGCTTGAAGCTGGCCCAAGACGGCCCAAGAGGCCCCCAAGAGGGCCCCCAGGAAGGCCAGAAGAGGCCAAAAACATGGATTGTCCTCAGGTCTTTGACGGATGTTGACATATCCTTCTTTTCGGCCTTCCGACGGCCCGAGACGGCCCAAGAGCCCCCAAAGATCGCCGAAAGTTCGCCCAAGAGACCTCCAAGACGGCCAAGATGACCTTCAAGACGCCCACGTGTTCCCCGAAGGCGTTCCAAACCGATTCGGGGAACACTCCAAGATGGCCTCCAAGATGACCAAGATGGCCCAAGATGGCCTCCAAGATGGTCCAAGATGACCTCCAAGTCCGCCCAAGATGGTCCAAGACGGCCTCCAAGACGGCCAAAGAGAGTCCAAGACGGCCCAAGACGGGCCAAGAGGCCCCCCAGAGGCCTCCCAGACGGCCCTAGAGGCCTCCAAGAGGTCCTCCAGGAGGGCCCGCAGAGGCCAAAATCCATGATGTTCCGTAGATTTTTAAAGGATTTTGGCATTTCGGCTTTTCGACTGCTCAAGACGGCCCAAGAGGCCCCCAAGATCGCCCAAGAGGCCCCCAAGAGGGCCCCATGACGGCCCAAGTGGCCTCCAAGATGGCCCCAAGAAGGCCCCAAGACGGCCCAAGAGGCCTCCAACACGCCCAAGATGGCCTCCAAGACGGCCCTGGAGCATTCCAAGAGGGCCCCAAGTCGGCCCATAGAGGCCCCCCAAACGGCTTCCGACGGCGTCAGACGTGCCAGGACCCCACCAAGATGGCCGCAGTTGGCTCGAAGCTGGCCCAAGCGGCCCAAGAGGCCCCCAAGAGGGCCTCCAAGAAGGCCAGAAGAGGCCAAACACATGGCTTATCCTTAGGTTTCTGACGGATTTTGACATATCCTTCTTTTCGGCCTTCCGACGGCCCGAGACGGCCCAAGAGCCCCCAAAGATCGCCGAAAGTTCGCCCAAGAGGCCTCCAAGACGGCCAAGATGACCTTCAAGATGCCCACGTGTTCCCCGAAGGCTTTCCAAACCGATTCGGGGAACACATGGTCCGATGGCTTGGCAGGTCTGGCCTCAACGTTCGGCCACATAGGCGCGTCCACAAAGGCAGGGGGCGGCGGTGATTAGCCGTAGGCGTCTTCGATCCGCCGCCCTCTGTTGATTCATCACAGGGGTGCCTGGCGTGCTGAACCCTCCAGTTTTTGGTTTTGGTCCTTTTTCCAAAAGAACTCCCCCTGGGGCTTCGCCCCGTCCCGCCGGCCACCCGGAAGGCGCTCAATTCCCCAACCTTGTCGGCTTTTTCGCTCAAGACGGCTCCAAGATGGCCTCCAAGATGCCTCCAAGACGGCCAGGATGGCCTCCAAGACGGCTAAGATGGCTTTAAGATGCCTCCAAGACGGCCCAAGATGTACCCAAGACGGCCTAAGATAGCCTCAAGATGACCCAAGGTGGCCCAAGAGGCCCCTAAGAGGCATCAAGGACAGCCCAAGAGCCCGTCGAGAGGTTCTGCAGGAGGGCCCGAAGAGGCCAAAATCATTGATTCTCCATAAGTTTTGAAAGGAGTTTGGCATTTGCTTCTTCTCGGCATTCCGACGGCTCAAGACGGCCCAAGAAGCCCCCAAGATCGCCCAAGAGGCCCCCAAGAGGGCCCCATAACGGCCCAAGTGGCCTCCAAGATGGCCCCAAGACGCCCCAAGACGGCCCAAGAGGCCTCCAACACGCCCAAGATGGCCTCCAAGACGCCCAAGATGACCTCCAAGACGGCCCCGAAGCGCCCCAAGAGGGTCCCCCGTTGGCCCAGAAAGGCCCCCAAGACGGCTCCCGACGGCGTCAGACGTGCCAGGAACCCACCAAGATGGCTGAAGTTGGCTCGAAGCTGGCCCAAGGCCCAAGAGGCCCCCAAGAGGGCCCCCAGGAAGGCCAGAAGAGGCCAAAAACATTGATTGTCCTCAGGTCTTTGACGGATTTTGACATATCCTTCTTTTCGGCCTTCCGGCGGCCCGAGACGGCCCAAGAGCCCCCAAAGATCGCCGAAAGTTCGCCCAAGAGGCCTCCAAGACGGCCAAGATGACCTTCAAGATGCCCACGTGTTCCCCGAAGGCTTTCCAAACCGATTCGGGGAACACATGGTCCGATGGCTTGGCAGGTCTGGCCTCAACGTTCGGCCACATAGGCGCTTCCACAGAGGCAGGGGGCGGCGGTGATTCGCCGTAGGCGCCTTCAATCCGCCGCCCCCTGTCGATTCATCGCAGAGGTGCCTGGCGTGCCGAATCCTATCGCTTTTGGTTTTGGTTCTTTTCCAAAAGAACTCCCCCTGGGGCTTCGGCGTGTGCCGCCGGCCACCCGGAAGACCCGGTTGCAAACAGTTTTCCTGCCCCAGACGGCCCCAAGATGGCCTCCAAGACGGCCAAGATGCCTCCAAGACGGCCAAGATGGCCTCCAAGACGGCTCAGATGGCCCACAGATTCCTCCAAGACGGCCCAAGATGTATCCTAGACGGCCTAAGATAGCCTGAAGATGGCCCAAGACGGCCCAAGAGGCCCCCCACAGGCCTCCAAGATGGCCCTAGAGGCTTCCAAGAGGTCCTCCAGGAGGGCCCGCAGAGGCCAAAATCATTGATTTTCCATAGGTATTTGAAGGATTTTGGCATTTGCTTCTTCTCGGCTTTCCGAC